CCCAACCGAAATAGGGAAATACTTGGTCAATCCACCTTGTGTTTGAACACATGTAATAGCTCCTGCATACATATCTTTAATGATTTGAATATAAGCATTATTGACTCCTTTCTTTTCAAGAACTCTCCATAGCACTTCTCTTGGAACTTTATCATATGCTTTTTCTAAATCAATAAATATCATATGTAGATCCTCCTTATTTTCTCTATATTTCTCCATCAAACCTCTTAATAAATGTATGGCTTCCATAGTCGACCTACCCGGCATGAATCCAAATTGATTTTGAGAAACATTAGTATCACGCCGCAACCTATGCTCCATAACTCGCTCCCATAGTTTTAAAGTATGACACATTAACTTAATACCTCTATAATTCGCACAATCTTGTGCATCACCTTTATTCTTAAAAATAGGAATTAACATACTCATTCTCCACTCATCTGGCATCTTTTTAGTCTTCAAAATAGTATTAAAAAGTTTAGTAAGCCATGAAATTCCTTCATCTCCTAAGCATTTCCACACCTCTATTGGGATATCATCAGGTCCAACAGCTTTTCCACCCTTCATTTTCTTTAAAGCCTCTCTAATTTCAGTTTTACTAATATGCCGATAAAAACATAAATCTTTATTTTCATTTAGGGTGCTAAGGTCACTATAGTCAATCTTATTTTCACAATCTTCATTAAAAAGTTTAGCAAAATATCTCATCCATCTTTGTTGAATATCATCTTCTAAGAAAAGTATTTTTTGATCTTCATCTTTAATACACTTCACTTGAACTAAATCCTTACTACTCCTATCTCTTTGTTTGGCTAACTTATACATATATCTTTCTCCTTCTTTAGTATCTAATCTATTATATAAATCACTAAAAGCTAATGTCTTTGCATCGCATATGGCTTTCTTAGCATCCTTACGAGCAACTTTATATATTTCCCAATTATCGGAATTTTTAAAATTAAACCAATTTTTATAACAAAGCTTCTTATTTTTAATTTTTTCTTGCACATTAGGATTCCACCACCAACTATTTTTACTATTAGGAGCTTTTCCCTTTGATACTCCAAGGACATCTTTTGCAATATTCTTAATATCACTAGCCACTTTTTCCCACATAATATTAGCATCCTCATGCACAGACAAAATCTTAAGATCTAAAATCTTATTTCCAAAAATATTTTTGTTAATATTCTTTAAATGCCCCCATTTAATCCTAGAAAATTGTTTTACTTTATTTTTTATTTTATGCCCCTTTATCTTAAAGTCCAAAACTAATAATCGATGTTGGGTACATAAATTTTCACTCGGAATAACTTTACAATCTTTGCAATCTAAACGATTTAATTTTCTAATAAGAAAATAGTCAATCTGGGTTGTATTATATCCATTTTTATAAGTGATGAGATGCTCATTCCTTTTCTTAAATAAGGTATTAGCAATTAAAAAATTATAAGCTAAACAAAAATCCAATATGGTCTTGCCACCTTCATTCGTCGTTCCAAATCTATGGCCATCATGAATGCTTTTAAAATCATCTACCTCTCTACCAACATGTCCATTTAAATCTCCTCCAATAAAAACTCTTTTTTCAAGAGGTATATTTTGTATTAATTCTTCTAAGTCATTCCAAAAATTTAATTTAGAACTCATATCCAAACCTACTTGAGGAGCATAAGCACTTATAATATTAATAATCTTATCATCAACAACAATCTTTAAAGCTATAATTCTATCTTCAATCCTATTAATTTTTATAACATTATCCTTTAAACTCTTATCTATAATAACACCTACACCATTTCTAGTACGACTCCTACCTGAATACCAAAGTTTAAATTCTAAACTATTAATTTCCTCAGCCTTCTCTCCAACCCATTTAGTTTCCTGAATGCACAAAATATTTAACTTCCTATGAATCATAATATATATTAATTCTATTAATTTTCCTGTAAGAGAACCTATATTCCAAGTTTCTATCCTAATTTTATTTTCATGGACTAGCTTCTTTGCCCACATTCGTTCTTGATGTGGGAACCCTTGCCTATTTAACACTGCACCCGGGCACCGGTGCAGCGGCCCTTGCACACTTGTCACTGTATTTAGAAATACAGCTCGTCGCTTCCAGGGGACGCCCTAGCATTAACACAATTTTTTAAAGGATTCATGTCATTTATTGTTTGACAAGTTTTACGCTAGTTGTCGACTACCTAACGCAATCCTCCACTTTTCTCATCCAGGACTTGGGACCTGGCAACGACAGTGTTTAACGTTAATATAATGAAATCTAAACACCATAATCATTAAGAAGGGTAAGCATAAGTTACACATACTATAAATCGTAATAAATAAATAAACAAAACAAATCCTTAAATATTTTTGATAAACTCAAATATAATGAAAGAACAATACAAATAAACAAAACTCATAAAAAACTAACACACAAAACATTGGACAAACCTTATGGATTACGAATTTGGAGTCAAGGAAACGAACATGAAATTTCAATGCAACCAAACTGTCATTGGGAGACCTAAAACCACTTAGAAAAACGTTTCAGTTCACAAGATTTTTTATCAGATGACAATTGTATGCAGTCAACAAGCAAATATGTTAAAGAAGTGGAAATACGGTCTGCACAAAAGATAGAAATAGGCAGAGTGCATTTAGTAAATCCTGAAGGCATGACAGTTTGATTTTAGAATTCTTAAATCAAACCAACTCTTTGGACTGATTGATTGCCAATTGAGAGATTTGGAGTATTTAAAGAGATTTAATGAATTACGTTGGTCTACATTTCCTTAAACCTGGATTTTCTAGGATTTGATAAATCCTTTAATAACCTGTGATTTATCAAATCTTGCTAAATTCAGAATTTTAACAGGACTGTCTCCTGCAAACCTATTGGAAGGATTAGCTCAAATCCAACTGAAATCTTGCTCAAAAGTTGCAACCAATCAACTCAAAGAGTTAATCCATTCCACCTAATGAACTTATATGATACCGTGAATTGGAAGAAATAGTTAGTAGGGCTTGGGGGACCGGGGTTTTTGACCTACTCTAGCGAGTTTAATGATGATCCCAGGCGGGCCATAGGACTGTCGGAGCAAGGCTCAGCGAGTGCGGACGGATGGCAGCTCATATTTGAGCTAGAGTCGGTGGCAAGCAGGATGCGAAAGCGAGCCTGTGCTCGCGGGAGCGAGGTAGCAACGGCTCTTTCTTTATTCAAATATCCGCAGCATTAGCGTAAGTTTTTATTTCTTATTATGGTGAAATAGTGCAAGTTGGGAGGAAAATACCTAAATTATCTTTAATATAATTAATCTATTAAAATTTTGAGGGTGGGCAATTGCCACCCTCACCTAACCGTAGGTCCGCCTCTGTTTAGAAGAAACTTACAAGATGGAATTTAACCTGTGATTTACACTTTAAAATTTATATTCCAATTTTTACTTATTCACCTAATCACAAAGTTTTGTCTCTCTCCCGATCTTGCTCTCTCTGACTTGGCTAAGAGCCTTGAGAAGCTCTTTCTTACTCTTTTGATCTTTTTATGTATATTTTCATCAAGTTTTTTTTTAATTGTGCGACTTTACTATTAAATTATATTCTTTGCATTGCTGTCTTACCTTAATCATGACTTTCTTCGTTCATATTTATATATTTTTCCTACAAATATTTTCTTCTGGCCAAATATATTTTGGCTTCTTGATTATTATTGTTTGAGTTTTAAAACTTGATAAAATTATATTTTGGCTTATTTCATTAGAAAATGCATGTGATGGCTATGATGAAGGATTTCTATGTTTGAGCATTGTTAAAATTTATTCATCAGTCTTGATTAATTAACCGAAGTATGATTTTGTAACAGGTTTTTTAGTTTTCTTCTTTTTCTCAATAGCAATTATTTTGATCTTCTAAAATTGTTCATAGAAGAGAATAATGTGTTCTCTATCATGACTATCCATAGTGGCTAGGGGTGAGGTTTTATTAAATATTAAAATCAGTGTGAGATTTCTGGTGAGGTTATTACTCCAAGGTTTTTATGTGAGCATGTCAAACTGATAAGCCATTGACAGAGATCGTGGTTTTTCTATTTGTTTTGTGTTTGGTTAGTGCACTGCACAAGGTTGTTATCCAGTACCACAGTGCACGTGTTTCTATGGTTGATGTTTTGACCACTGCGCAAAACTTAGAGGATTCTAAACCATTGCCCAGCTTTAGCCTCGCTGGTTGGGGTTTTTGGTTCCCCTTCTTCTGGCAGGGGTTCAAGGATCGGCATTAGGGGAGGGAGGCTTGTGCTAATCTAATTACCAAAAAATCTCTTCCATTGTTTTGAGTCTTTTAGTTAGCTGTTAGAGTGTGAATAACAGGCTTGATTGAAGGCCCTTTGATTAACTTTTGTTCGGTTTTGCTTATTATGATCATTGGTATCATCCTGAGAACAAACACATTTTCTCCTTTTATCAGGAAGTTTTGATGTCTTTTGTGTCAGGATAACAAATTCCCACATCATTCTGGTTGAAAAGCTTCTATGTTTCAATAAGCATTCAGATATTTTCGAATCTTATTTGTTGATTGAACTTGTTGTAATTCTACATGATCTGTATGGCAGTGGAAAAGGCATTTAAAGGGAATCAGAAAGTAGTGTTTTGTAATGGACATAGTATTGTTAAACATGGGAGCTAAAAAAATGTGCTAAAACATGATGAAAGATTTGAAGATTTCTTTTTCTATTTTAATGGTGATTTTATGCATCAACTGGTTAAGTAGTAAGCAAGAAATCATTAGTGTATTTATATTAAACTGATAATTGAGATGCTATGGTTTTTTTCAAATTGTTAAATTCCTAGGTTTAACTTCGCTAATATTTATCTAGTTGATATTTTACTTGTATTCTCAGAGCTATTAATTATAGGTACTAAAATAATATTAATTATATTCGCATATTCATGATTTTTAAAATGGTACCAACGAACGAGTTGGCAATGATCTTTTTTCAGGGTGACCCTAATAATGGATACCAACAGTGATAATTTTTACAACATTCCCGATCATCTTCTCATTGAAATTTTTGTTCGGGTACCTATTCCTGATTGGGTTCAAATATCATGTGTGTGTAAGCAGTGGGCTTCCATATTCCGGGCGGAGTGTCTATGGCAATTTGCAATTGCACGCTCATGGCCTTCAGCCGTCCTTAGAAAACGTTGGCCTGGCCCTATTCCTGGAGGTTTAGCTAAGAGGTGAGAGATCTATATTACTGTGAAGAAATCTTTTATTTATCGTGTTACATTTTCATTTCGTGCCAATTTATTAGAGCATAAATTAATTACCACAACATGCCTTATGCACGTTGATAATAAGTTATATTATCACTTTCTCTGCTTCTAATGGGTATACGCTTTTATTTTTCCATCATCTTTAGTATAAAATTTTGAGCCGATTCATCTTGTTTGTGCGTTAGAATATTTTTTTTTAATAACTAATCTTTTTCTAACATTATTTATACTCCCTCCAGAAGATACATGGCATTATATGCTAGCGAGCATGTTATCACATTAGATGGTGAAGTTGATGAGCTTGTAGGCCATGCTTATTTGTTTCTCAAAGAACAACTTGAGCTTTCTAACATGCCACCTCCTTCTAGCATACTTCATGGAACCCTTATTGGTAAGCGCTTATAGAACTCTGCTTTAACTGGTTCGCTATTGCACCGTGTTGGTGTTGGCAAGCTAAAACTCTCTTTCATTTATAAATTTTTTAAGTTGGTTATTTATGGAATTGATCTTTTTTTCTTTTCTTTTAAAGATGCCCATTTTCATGATTTTTTTTGTTGTGGGTTGTTTAAAATGGGATTATCTTCAGAATTTGTCATATACTTGAATAACAAATAGCTTAAATTAACTCCTTTAAAGCCACAATAAATGGTGGGATAATACATATGCGGGTTGCTGTTAATGACCAGGCTTTGTTCTTTATCCAAGCAGATCAGTTTATTGCATGCGGGAGGTCAAGAGATAATGCCTACGAGCTTGCTTCACAAATATGGTTAACTGTTCTCAACAATTTGGAAGAGAATGAGCATACCTTTGCACTGTTAAAACGTCTTGCACTGGAAGGAAACGTAAGCATTTTTTCCTTCAAAAAAGAGCTCCTTTATGTGCTTAGGAAAGTTGGGTTTTATGCGACTCACGCCCTCCTTTGTAAGTGATGTCGCCAATCTTTTAAAGAAAATAGGCCTAGAAAAAAGTATATTCTTGTTTGGTTTCTTATAGTTTCATATTTCTTAGGAGTTGTTTAATAAGGAGATGCAGAGTCTGTCTTTCTCATAAATGAGAAGAGAAGCAAGACATTTATCTGTAAGTCGACTGGTTGTATCAAGATCTCATGTTTGATCATCTATGAACATGTGGTAAAATCTACAAAATTGTTAGCTTATGTGGTGATTTTAATTTTTGAAGATAATTTAACACTGGACCCTCAACTTTAGTTGGCAACGACAATAACAATGGATCACATGACTGGTAATAGCTTTATACGTGATTTTCATTTCCTATAACCCATTGAGATTAATGAACTTTCATTAAAAAAATGTTGGTGTTTATGTAAACAAGCTTCAAAACTTGCTGCACATAGGCGTCAGAGCATATATTTGCAAGCACTAGAAAAACAAATGAAGTACTGAAAACCAGAATAGTTCTTTGGGAGCTTTTGAGGATACATATCAGCCGGATAGTTTTTATGGGCTTTTGTGTACTAAGCATCGTACTTATTCATCGTTTGCTTTTCTGTAAATTGACATAGCTTTTTTGGTTTTTAAAAAGCTGAAAGCATTGTGATTTCTCTTGCAGTTCTTCCTTCCATATCCTTACTCGAGATCTGACAAAGTCTTATGGAGGGTTTTTGAAAAGCTCTTCACTGATTTCCGCGATTGCTTCACTCGTGTGGATTATTATGATGCACTTTCCTATGCCAAAACAAGGTTCCAGCCGATACCATCCACTTGGTTGGGTCATTAAGCCTCCACAGCAAATACCAGCAGAAGTATGCCGGTTTGTATACAAACAATTTCATACTATGATTTTTTGTGCATGTAATCACAATTTCATACTATGATTTTTTGTGCATGTAATCATATATCTGTAAATATATTTATTTATCTGTGGATGTAATTATTAAAGATGTTTGATGTAATGAAAACTTATAATTATTCATATATGAATTTTTGTTTTTTAGCCAATCTCACGTAGTGAGACAAAAGCTTGATGTTGTTGTTGTTATGAATATATTGAAAATTAATCAAATAATTAGATTAAGTGCTCAATTAATGTCTCTATATTGCTGATTAATTTGATCGTATATATATTACATATTTCAGTTATCTAAGCCTCAAGACTCTTATACATAATTACTTCATCATAACTGACGCTCTGTTAGGGTTTCGGATTTTGCTCGTTTTTGGGCTTCGTTCTTGTGGTTTTCGCCTGGATCCTCTTGGATCTGCTTAGGGAAGTCCTTCATTTCTTTTATTTCTGCATTCCGGTTGGCTTGGCTTTGGTTGTTCTTTTGGTGATCTTAGGGTGGCAGTGGCGGAGCCAGGATTTTTTTTCACCGGGGGCATAAAATTTTGACTTTAAAAATACCATCAATTTCTTTTTCATTTTAGCTTGAAATTGACGTTAGGATTTTAATTTTTTTATTATTTTTTAATTATAAGAAGATAAAATTTATGATAATGAAAAAAACTTAATATTAATCATGTTCATCTAATAATTAATTAACTAAAAGATGTTCGCGTCTGCTAGGGTTTTTTTACCCTAGCCGCCGCTCCTTTCTTCTACACCGGTGTTTACTTTTTCTTCTCTTTTGCTTGATAATGGCTAACAAGAGGATCGATCCTGGGTTCTTACAAGGTAAGAACTCGAAATCTTTTAAAGATGCTTTATCTGGCGCCGTTTCTTCGAACGTTTTTCCGGATTGTCGTATTTCTACGATTCGTGGGCTGACCGCTCTTTGGTTTTCTGAAGATGAATTTCTTCATCTGGCGAAACCCTTCGAATTCGCTTTGGTGGGTAAGTTTCCCCTTAAGCGTCCGGATCTGGACTCTATCAGAATTTTTTTTTTCAATTTAAAGTTATCTGGTGATGTTTCTGTGACTGTTTTAGATCAATCGAATGTGCTTATCAAACTTTCGAATGATCTTGATTATGGCCGAATCTTTGCTCACCGTTCGTATTTTGTATTTGGTTGTTTTATGAAAGTTATCAAGTGGTCTCCGTTTCTTGACCTTTCGGAGGAATCTCCGATAGTCCCGGTGTGGATTTCCTTCCCTGGGTTGCGGCCACACCTTTTTTCCCCTCGCATACTTTTAGGTTTAGGATCTATTTTGGCCGTCTGATTCATACAGATAATGCAACGGCGGTTGGGTCTCGTCCCTCTATTGCATGTATCCTTGTTGAACTCGATATTTCTAAAACCTACCCAGAATCCATTTTGTTGGGACCGGAGAAATTTGGTTACATTCAAAAAGTTGTTTTTGAGGGAATGCCTAGTTTTTGTTTGCATTGTAAGACCGTGGGGCATCTGAAAGCGGGATGCTGTAAACTTCTTCCGAATTTGCCTTCGAATAATATTCCGGCGCCACCGCCGGTGGTGACCGCATGCGCGGATTTGCCTTCAAAAAATCTTCTGAATTCTGTTTCTACCCCCGCTGAGAAGTCTATTTCTCTATGCGAGAATTTTTTGGTTGCTGATGATGACTGTATTATTGATAATAATGTTGGGGGAGGTGGCGTCGAGCCTCCTGGTGTGAATCTGTTATCTCCTTCTGATGCTGAGGTTGATGCTTCGGGTTTTGGTTATACTGTGGTTGGGTTTCAACCTGGTCTTAATATTCCTCCTGTTAATACTATTATTAATGAGGTTGATGTTGATACTCCTGTTCTTGTTAATATTTCGGAACCTGTTGTGTCTCCTGTGGATGTTGTTGTTTGTATTAGTGAGGATAGATCCCCTGCTGTGGATGTTACAGCCAGTTTGGGATGTCATACTAATGCTGATGGAGGTGTTGTTATTTCTGATGTGAATCCGGGCATGCCTATTCTGTCTAGCACTGTGATTGTAGAGCACGCTGAACCGTTTCGGGTTCCTAATCTTGCTGTGAGGACGGATGGTTAGGGAAAGTTGGTGGACGTTCCAGTGAATGAAATTGGTTCCCAAGCGTTAATGGATCAGGTGGGGGGTTCGGCTAGTGTTGATGTTAGATTACATGAGGATTGGCTCCGTTGTTTGTCTTTTTTAATATATTATAATGTTTTGGAAAAAAAAAAATGTTCATCTAGATTAAATTTAACACAAATTTATTTAAACTATATATTATCGTACTAATTTATTTCAACTACTCTTCTACCGTATATTTTCATATATAATTTAAATAAAAATATAACAAAAAAATATTTTACAACGAGCAATAAACATATAAAAAAATTGCATCTTTTTTTTATAAAAAAGTGCATCTTTTTATTATACTCTTCTACCATATTTTAAGCTATTTTATTTAAAATTAAATATTATAATTATTCTTTAATGTAATTTATTGACTTTAATTACATAAATATTTTATAAACAAAAATTTGGGTTATTAAAATATAAAAAAATGATAATAATGTAAAGACGAAGATATAAGTAGTCTCACCCCTCATGGGAGAGAGAGAGAGAGAGAAGAGAGAGAGAGGGAGAGCTAGCTAGGGCTAGTGCCGGCTATAAAAAATTAAAAACAGAAAATGCAAAGAAAAAGTAAGAGAGAGAGAGAGAAGAGAGGTAGATGAGAAATGGGAAAAGAGAGTGACAGCAAGTAGTTCTTTTTTTTTTTTTTTTTTTTTGGAAAATAACAGCAAGCAGTTCCCAATACAAGAAATTTTTTTTTTTAGGGGGGGCACGTGCCCCCCTAGGCTCCCCCTTAAATCCGCCAATGTTAAGGGTGGTATCGCCTATTATCGAGATAAACCCTCTTCTTAGATCACATCCTGACTTCTTGGGGGTAAACCTCAATCTAAATCTTTTAAGGATGCTTTGGTCGGTGTTTCAAGTTGTCCTCATTTTCCAAATTTGAAACTATTCACTCACAATGGTATGCCTTTTCTGTGGATCTCTGACATAAATCTCTGAAAAGGAAATAAGGATTTTTGTGTCTCCTTTTGAATTTGTTTTGGTGGAAAAGTTTTTGGCCCATCGTCTATCGCTCAACACGATTAATTTTTTTTTTAACCTTAAATTAACCGGTGATTTTCTATTACTCTTTTGAATCCTAGACATATTTTGATTAAGTTAGCAAATGATATCGATTATAGCAGGATTTGTGTGGATTTTACTACGTGAATAATTATTTTATGTAGTTAATTAAATGGTCTCCTTTTTTTATATTGTGGATCTTAGACCACATCTTTTCTCTCATCACATCCTTTTTGGATTGGGCTACCTTTTTGGCCACCACCTACAAATTGATAAAACCATGACCTCAAGTACTAGACCTTCTATAGCTCGAATCATGGCTGAAATTGACATAAAAAAAACCCTTCCGAAGTTTGGGTTTACCATAAAAATTTGTGGTTATGTTTGAAATGTCCTCGTGAATGATTTTTCATCATTTTGTGTGCACTATAAAAATGTTGGGCATGATAAACCTGAATGTTTTTATTTTCATCCTCATTTGAGAAAAGCTAAAGTGGTTTTAGATAAAGAGGAAGGAGAATCAGTAATGGGTATGGCTTGTGTGGGGTTAGAGATTGAGAATCCTTGAATTTTTGTTTCAAGGCAAGTTGGTAATAGGGATATTCTTGTTGAGCAGATCTACTCTTTTCTATGGAATTAGATCCAAATAACAAATCTATTAATCTTGAAAATTCGGAAGGTCTAAACATTGTATTGGATATCCTTGTTGCTCCTATGGGTGATCTAATGGTCTCTCTTAGGGACATTGGTAGTAATTTTGTGATTGAAAATAGTGAAAAAATTTTGGCTCCTGAGGAAGCTCTTGCCAATCATAATGTTCCTATCCTCCAATCTCTGAGCAAGGGAAAATTATTACGTCCGGTGTCCGGATTTGTTCGGACACCAATCCAGACACGCCACATTATCCAGATATACCAGGGTCCAATATATCCGGGTGATGTGGCGCTTCTGGATTGGTGTCCAGACGGTTCGGTGACCGGACGTAATAATTCGCTCCGAGCGAGGGATGTAATAGCAAGGACAAAATTAATCACCTCGCTGCCCCCTTTAATTAATGCAGATAAATTTCGCTTTTGATTCCCATTTGAATCCTTCTAATTTTGAGAGTAATGCAAAATAAACGGATTCAAATTGGTAAAAAGATTTACCTTGGTCAAACAATATCGTCCAGTAAAAAATATTCTAATGATAATAATCTGGATGGCTTCGAAGTGGCAACGTCTAAAAATACGCATAGAAAAAAAGCAAATAATGGGTGTCCCTGTTTCTTTCTCCATGATTACAAGAGCTCAAGCGGCTACTAAATTTAATATTTAATGTTTAAGTGTATTATATGGAATATTAGGATTGGTAGGTTGGGAACTCCTACTCTTGGTCTCGTATTAAAAATTTTTGTGTAAGAGTCATCATATTTCTTTTCTTACTTTACTTGAACCTATGATCAATGCTTCTAAGTTTTCTTCTTGTCAAAGTTATCTTGTTTTTTTATTATTCTTTTTGCTAATGTCAATGAAAAAATTTTGCTATTTTGGAAGAATAATGTTAACATCAATATCATTGGTGTTTTTTAGCAAGTAATGCACTATTTATTTTTTGTGTCTAATATTTCTAGATGGACTATTTCATATATGCTAGCACTATCAGATTGGTAGGTTGCCTTCATGGCACAATTAGTCGATCTAAATCATAATTATTTTTTTCCCTAATTTGTTGGTGGTGATTTCAATGCTATTTCTAAAGCAAAGGAAAGCTTGGTGGCTCTC